TGGAGACTAGGGATGTGAAGATTGAACTGGTGAAACCAGTGGGGCTTGAACAGCTCCCCACTTGCCATGGACAGGGGGCTGCTGCAGCCCCACAAGGGTCCGCCAAGGAGCAGCTCCTGCTTGCGGTAGGCCCAGGCATGCTGCAGGCAGGGGTGTTCCGGGGTCGCAGCTGGAGCAGCCTCTCTCCGCTGAGAACCAGGCACTATGCTCTGGCTGGGCTCGAGCAGGCCATGCCTGTGGCAGGCGGAGAGAAGGAATCATTCCAGCCTCCTCCAAGTTGCCTGCCTTCAATCAGTTATCCAGTTAAACAATGGCTGCATCTAGACTGGCATGATTTTGCACAAATACTTTTAACGGAAATGTTTTTCCATTAAAAGTATTTGCGCAAGAAAGCGTCTACACGGGCATGTGCTTTTGCACAAGAGATGTGCTTTTGTGCAAAAGCATCCGTGCCAGCGTAGATGCTCTCTTGCGCAAGAAAGCTTTGATGGTCATTTTAGCCATCGGGCTTTCTTGGCCTCTTGCGCAAGAATACTTGCGCAAGAGGGCTTATCCCTGAGCGGGAACATTATAGTTCTTGCACAAGAAGCACTGATTTTGTACATTAGAACATCAGTGTTCTTGCGCAAATACTCACGGCCTATGTAGAAAGGTGGCAAGATTTTGCGTAAAAGCGGCCACTTTTGCGCAAAATCTTGCCAATGTAGACACAGCCCTCATGTTTAACCAGTTAGCCAACTGAATAGTATTTTACATCCCTTAGAGACAAGATTATATAAGGATCTGAAAAATATTGCCTGTGATATAATAGGAGATACAAGTCAATGAATTCAAGAATATTTCCATCGTCAGAGCAGCACTAGCCAATACACAACCACACCACACTCTGAAATCAGCCATAGAACCGGATATCTGTGAAGGAGGGCTTACATTTCACTGCTTAAGGCATGGATGAGGAATAATTTTTAAAGGGGGAGGGGCACTTCACAAATTTCTGAAGTGGCCCTGGGCTGCCCCAGAAGGTGGTGGGGCCTTTGGCAGAAGGGGCAGTACTAAGAGACTTCTTGTGCTCCCCCACCCACAGACCTTGATTGGCCTGGGGGTGAGGGAGCACGTGAAGTCTTTCTCCCCTGTCCCAGTGCCTAGAAAGAATTGCCAACTGTTTTGAACAGTTGTATTTAGAGGAGTGTCAGGAGACGTTTTGTCTCTTTAAGCTCCCACAAGAGTAGTTCACCTTTGTTCCACTCTCAATTCTTGCCAGTACCTATAAAGCATAAATTAATCCCAAAGGTAGAAGTAGCAAAGTATGTGATAGTTATTGTGATAATTACTGAGGGATGAACCTGGAAGCCCCCTACTCAATTTGTACTCAGGCAAAGTTCTCAATGTCAGTTTGCCTGTATAAAAACTGAATTAGGTCTTCCAGATCTGGTGCTGTAGGTCTATGCCTCTAGCGAGCCAGTGAGTAAGGTAGCACTATTTGTTATTTATTATAATGATGCTTTTCTATACGTATCAACACTTCTCATCATTGCTGAGTGAGTGAACATTGGTAATTTGTCTAAGTTTAAGTGTCTGAAATGCAGTAACTGCAGACAATAAGTTTCAATTTATCTTCCTATGTGGGCAGGACAGAGGGTGGGCAGAACTGATGGCCTGCAATTCAGTTACTCATCTTTAATTAGAACTTAAACATGATTCAAGGAATTAACACTTATAGTTTTCATCACATGTGTTATGTGTTCCCAGCTCTTTTGTACTCATTACATGCCTCAGCTAATTCTTTGACTCTTTTTTCCCCTCACTCCCCTAGAAAGGTCAGACAGCAGTAGGGAGTCTGAGCCAGATGAAACGGACTGAACACATACAGCAGTGCATGTGACCTCAATATCCCTCTTTGTAGCAATAGAAGCAAGGAATTAAGAAATAAATCCTAAATGAACAAAAAGACTGATACCCTACAAGAAGAATAAGGTGAGGAGGGGAAGGATTAGTATATTCTCCAAATAATGGGGTAAAGCATTGTGTATGTAGATCACTTGTTAAAAAAGACAAGAAAGTAACTCAAATGCTGTACTGCTACTGTGTATGAGCACAGAATAAAACAGCCGAGGACTCAGCAAGCACACAGATGGGAGGAGGCCTCTGAGGAAAAGGGGGAAAATGGAATTGCCTAGGAAAAAACTTAGGAGTCACATGTGAAAGCTCTTAAGAAGTTCATCTCTGTTGACAATAAATGCAACAGAGAATTCACTCATTAAGGCTCAAATCCCAGTTCTCATACCAAGCTCAGAAGCAAAAGCCTCGCATAAAAGAAGAACACAGAGGTGAAGAGTTCTGGACTCAGGACTTCAATACTGTTAGCATTAATTGGAGAAGGAAATACAATTTAAGATGGATTTTATCTATTTAAACAAAATGCCCCTCATCTCATTTGAGATAGGGACAGTGGTGGTTGTAGGAGCAGTGGTGGTTGTAGGAGGACAACTAATTAAAAATACCAATACAGGATAAGTATGTTAATATGGTATAAGACTAATACAGTTGCATATTGTATATATGTTACCTCTGCTAAAATCTAGTTATACCAGATAAGCAAACACAGAGTATGGTTACAGCCTATTGGGGCTATCAAATTTGTTTTACTAATTTAAATCCCATGACATCAAGATTTAGTTTATTAATATAGTCTTAGACATAGGCGATGGTGTATAAACACAATCAATATCTATATATTTGTCTTCCTATTACTCTTATTCAACACTAGTATTAGCATTCTCAGACAAATGCTTAGTGAGACATATGAGCTCAAAGAGCCTAATGCTAGGCACCCAAATTCATATTTAGCCTCCTAAGTGACCTGCGTTTAAGAGTTGCTGAACACCAGCTGCTCCCTCTAAAACTCAGTGGTGCTTAGTATTTCTGGAAATCTGGCCACTTGTGTGTGCACTTTATGCATCTGCATTTGAAAATCTAGCTGGAAGTCTAGGTTTTCAGAAGCTTTGCACAGAAATACATGTACATATTTGTGTGCTTGATTTGCATGTTCAACCAGTGTATTGATCAAATGTCCTAGACACTGTACATAAATGGTCATTTGTCCATACACAGACTATACTTACCTGTACACATGCATCCAAAATTCACTGTAGAGCTAAACCTCTGAAAATCAGGCTTATTTTTTAAACACTGCATGTTACAAATGGTTGTTTTTCATTTTAAACCCTAAGTTTGAGCAGGGTACAATACTTCAAATATTGAGCCAAATACCGCCTTTGATATGTAGACAGAGTACAGGTATCAGTATTGCCAAGTAATGCCCTTTTTGAGGTCTGAGTTTCCTTGGCACAATTATATTACTTACTTCTGACTTCCTACAAAGTATTAATTTTAGCTCCCCTGATTAAAACCCATCAGCCTGGAATTGCAACTATATTTAACAATGGAATAAAGAGCCATTCATTACCCCCACATTTTTAAAAGGATGAGGATCTGGGGACAGCTAATGGCTTTAATAAGACTCGTAGTTTTAAATGCAGAGGTGTATGTGATCTATTAGTATCAGAGAGGCAGCCATGTTAGTCAGGATCTGCAAAAACATTGAGGATTGCTGTGGCACCTTAAACACTAATTCCTCATTGTTTTTGTGGTCGCTCTAGTTCCACTGATATTGTATTGCTCTGGTAAATCATGCACTGCCTAAAGCTCATTTATATATCACAAAATATTTGTTTCTACCAACTACACTAAAATGTATACACAAATTAACTGTTGCTCTAAGAAAGTCTGACAATTTAAATTTGTCACTTGGTGACCTGCAAAGTACACATCAGAAGGCAGGACACTTTCATAAAACAAATCACAAATGTTCTATAGTGTAAATACCAACTGTGCTTCCATGTTATTTGCTTTTCATTATGCCAGTTCTTCAATACACGGGGGGAGGGGAAGGGAAACCTGACTCTCTTCTCAGGCCTAGTCTACACTAAAAGAAAGATTGCTGCCACTTTGATTGATTTTCTGGAATTTGATTTAGTGAGTCTAGTTAAGTCTCGCTAAATCAAACTCAAAGGGTGACCCTGCCGGAGTCCAATACTCCTCCTTTTGTGCGGAGTAAGGGAAGTCGATGGGAGCACTTGTTCCTGTTGGCCTCCCACTGTGGGGATGCAGCAAAGCTCAGCTCAAGGTAAGCCAACTTCAACTATGTATACTACATAGCTGGAGTTGCATACCTTAAGCTGAGCTGCCGGGTTTAGTGTAGATTTGATCTCAGTTTGAAGCTTTATATTCTGGGAGCTCAACTCACACACTGAATTATTCTAATGTAAATGAGAAGGAATTGAGACTCAGCATGTTTCCAGTAGGCCTAGGGCCTTTGGAAGCAATTGTTCCATATATAAATCAGAACTGGAGATTTCTCATCACATGGAATGCCAGTAACTTGCATATTAATATTAGTGGAGCACTGAATTGTCTAACATTCTCTATGCATCACTCTGTTATATTACTGGCCTTAGAGCCTTGGGGAATGAAATAGCTATTGTGACTGTACTGGCAATGTACCTTTTTCAGTGGTGAATTGTTCTAGCAATATCAATCTCTTCGTCTGTACAGCCTTACTGCAGGGAAAAACTTAAAAAACAACAAGTAGTCTTGCAGAACCTTAGAGACTAACAAAAAAATGTAGGTGGTATCATGAGCTTTCGTGGGCACAACCCACTTCTTCATTCATCTGAATCTGGTTTCTCGACTATTCTGTAGTCCTCGGAGGCCGAACTGATAGCCAGTGCACCCCCAGGGAGCCCCCATGCCATACCATGCTGCTGCCACTCTATCAGAGGCAGAAGCACAGGGTGGCAGGCAAGAGCCAGTCCCTGAGGGGAGCCAGTTTAAAAACCAGATCCCCGCACAGACTGGCTGCCTGTTGCCACACACTACTGCCTCTCATATTGAAGCAGCAGCGCAATGTGGCACCAGCCCCTGTCCATGAGGGGGAAACAGTGTCTAATTCCTCAGGGACAGAGGCTGCTCTAACTTCCATGGAGCAGCCTTTGTCCATGGCAAGCCTGGGCCTAACGCGGACAGAGGCTGATCCCACGAGGCTGCTCCAGCCTCTGTCTGCAGGGAGCTTGGACCCCCTGTGGACAGGGGTTGCTGCCATGAAGCAGCCTCTGCCTGCAGCGGGCCCAGGTTCTCCACAGACAGAGGCTGCTCTGTGGGATGTGGAACAGCCTCAGTTCATGGGGAGCTCAGACCACCATGGAGAGGGGCTGCTGCAGCAGCCTCTGCCCTCCTCCACCCCCTTTGCTGTTGCCTCTCAAAGAGGCAGCAGTGATAGGGGGACAGGAGGCACCACAGAGCCAGTGCTGGGGGGAACCGGATATAAGCCAACTCTCCCCAGCACTGGCTCCTACTTTCTGCACCCCCCCCTTTCTGCCTCTGAAATAGAGGCAGTGGCGAGGATTTGAGTAGCTGAGAAGATTAACCGTTAAGTCTAGACTTATTGGTTAATTGTACACTCAACTACTCATTTATATCCCTAACACAAATATTTGAAAACCCAAATACTCCGTATTTATTAAAATTCTTCTGGATCAGGAGATTGACTCAGTTTGGAGAAAAAAAAACTAAGCCTCTTTATTTCTTGCAGTTCATTAATAAACCATCGCAAACTCTATTTATAACCTCACATCAAGCTAATTTTGTTCCATCTTCCACAGTTCATTTCAACAGAGACTTGCTGTCAGCATGTGATATAAAAGCAAAATTATTTTCATCTCTCTTCTTCATCTCCTCCCCCCCCCCCCCCCCCCC